GGTTTGTTTATCATTCCACTGCTTGGTCTTTCCACCGCTCGGGCCTTGTTCTTTGAAGGTCGTCCCAAAACGCGCAAATCCTCGTCCGTCCGTCGCCGGCATGCAGAGTTGCACATCGCCGGCGGTCCCGTTGGTCTCACTGGTCTCACCTACAGCGTAGATGCCGCGTCGCCGTCATTGGGCATACGAAGGGCAGGAAGCGAATCCTTTGAAAAGGGCGGCAGGATCAGGCAGCGTTGCAGATGGAGCTAGGGACACCATGCATGATGGAGTCACCTTTTTGGGTCAGTGAGGTAGGTGAATCTTACTTACCTTGTGATCAATCACCCGAAACTTCGAATGCCAGCAACTTGCACCCCGCCACAGGCCTCAGGCGGCCTCAGGTAATCTCAGGTATATTAACCGCCCATATATTTGGTAGAGAAACACCTTGAACGATCAAGACTAGTGCAGGAAGAATCAGGAAGCTCCGGATAATATTTGCATATAGGATGATATAGGTTTAAACAAAGAAGACATACATCCTTTAAGAGAATCCATGAGAAAAAACAAAGAATCCATTTGAATCCTCAAAATATGTTCATGTCTTACTCGGTGGAATGCTTTCCTTTGAAGACTGGAGGATTCCAGCGATGAACTAGGACTGAATCGATGGAGAAAAAACATGGTCAGCACTGTTAGCACCTGACAAACGTGGTGTGGGAGTGTGGGTTAAGTAAGTAGGTCTTAGTATAGTGAGTTTTTGAACCACCCTACCCAAGAGGTTGAGAAGAAAGCGAAGCGATGGCGAATTCACTGGGTATTTCTGATGTTTCTGGTGTACCTTTTGCGTGGCGCACGTGCTTTGGTTCATATGTACACGGTGTCGTGAGACTCACACCGGGTTCAAGAACAACTCTCTTTCCAAGAAAAATGGATGTGACCTCCAACCTACTGGCGATGGCCTCCAACCTAAGAGCGATCGCCTCCAACTCTTTTTTCAAGAAAAAAGGAAGTGAGACTCTGGCAAGTCGGAAATGGCCTCCACCCTGGTAGCTTCTTGTTACTAGTAGTAAGAATGCTCCTAGTAGTAAGGCCAGGAGCCCCTAGTAGCTTCTTGTTACTACTCTGGCAAGTCGGAAATGAGGTCACTCACTGAAGTGGTCAGATGTTGTCAGACGGCTACCAGGTGCGTTTTTCTTGACGTTGAATTGATGGGTTGATCAAAGATTCAACTTGATTAAAGCCTCGAAACCATTTGAAACCTTCTGGCGATCGCACAGCATAGGCAGCCATGTCCAAGCTTGGCTTGTAGAAAGCTTCGGAAGATGAAGCAACTTCTCAAATCGTTTGAGGCATGGCCCCAACCTGTGTAACACCAGGACTAGTTACTGTTTCCACGGCCTCTTCTGCATCCTGGATTAGTCCTGGTATCAACATCGCATCATCGTCCTGGGTTGCAGAGTCCCTGAATGATACAGTCATTTCTACCAGCATAAGAAAGACGGAATCGTTTTTGAATTGACACCATTTGACACCCACCATCCACCAGAATCGTCCGTGTGGTTTCACCATGTCCAACCGGTCGAGCCGAGCCGAGCTGCACAGAAGTGATGAGCAGATGGAGACAGGATGCAACTGTTGCACAACTGGGATGCATAGGAAGAAAACAACATGGCAACTGGATGTGTCTTGTGCCATGTTGTGCATGGAGGAATGATGAAAACATACATGATGTGAACCTAAGAAGATGCTTCAACTTTATCGAATCAACCGATCCTTTCATCCAGAAATTCGTCAAGAACTAGCACCACCCTACATCAGTCTACAGAGTCTTTGAAGCCTTGCAACAATTCTGATCAAGAGATCCAGAGAATGTCAGATCTTCGACACTGCAACACAACCCGCTTTTACGAATACAAGACATGCAGAGATACGTTGTCTACTTTCGCCTCACCATCAACTGGTGTGACCTGCATTCTCTCACAGAATACGCCACATGTCGCCAGACACTTATCTCTAGTTGAAGGTGTTAGCAAGCTAAACAATCCTTTGAGGCCAACTCACAAACCTTTGAGATCACATCAACCTGCGTTTGGTCCCGTTGTGCTGGCTTCTGGGACCAAAACGCTGGGAAGCAACACGTGTCTCTTGTCTTTCATGGCGAAGAGGAGGATCCGCCCGACGTCCCAAGAGGAGGATGGAGAGTGCATGGAGCTGGTGATGGGTGAACAGGCATTGAGGGCCAGTTTGGCGTTTAAAGGAAGGGTGGAGACAGGGTGAACATAAGTGGTTCACTCATCCTCCAACCTAATAGCAATTGCCTCCAACCTAATAGCACTGGCCTCGAACCGAATTACTAGCGATGGCCTCCAACCTACTAGCAATGGCCTGCAACCTGCTAGCAATGGCCTCCAACCTACTAGCAATTGCCTCCAACCTACTAGCGATGGCCTCCAACCCAATAGCGATGGCCTCCAACCTACTAGCGATGGCCTCCAACCTAATAGCAATGGCCTCCAACCTACTAGC